TGCCCCCCGTGGTGCTCCCCTCACAGCCCACAGCCATCCTCCCATCTTACATGTGATCAGGATGTGTTCTCTGTATCCTCACCCCCACCCCCAATCACCATTACTCTCACCACCTCCCCCAGGCTGGAGTGAGCTCCAAGTCTCTCTCTCAAAGTCACTCTCTCAATCCTCCTCACTTGTGGAGGGGACCCCAGAATTTCCCCCACTCAGTTCTGGCCTTTCTCTCCTGGGAAACAAGCAAGGAAGAAAGTCATTCGCACCAGGCTTTGTGGGTTCTTTCCTACTGAATCCCCCATTGCCCATACTAAGGAAAGAAAACATGTCTCATCATGTAATGTCATCTGCTCCAGTACAGCTTTGCCTTATTGAATAAAACAGGGGAGGTGCTTCCCTTCCACTCTCAAAATTTGTTCAACCTCAACATACAGGGGTTCCCTGAGTTTACCAAATAAAACTCAGGGGCTTGTTCCCTAAGGGCTGCACTGGCTGGCCCAGCAGAAAAGTGGCCAGGGCTGCCTTGGGGCCTTAGGGCAGGTGACGTTCCTAAGCTGGTGGCCTCTGTTCTACTGTGTCCAGGAGATTTATGACTCTCTTTTTGGCTTAGCCAGGCTTTGGGGTGTGGGAGGGAGAAAAGGCTGGTTCTTCCAGTTATAAAATAAGAGCGGGCTCCATGGGTGGGGGTGGCCCCCCATCTGTGGCCTCATCCCGTCCTCTCCCCAGCAATTCTCTGTGTCTTGTCTGGCCAAGGTTGCATTTCACCTGCAGGTAAAAGTGAGAGCACAAGGCTCAGGTGAGGGCTGGTGGGCCTGGGTATGCCCTGAGCACCGACCCCCGCCAACCTGTGTCCCTGCAGAGACAGCCCACCTGTCTCATAGCTTCAGCTTCTGTTTTCCTGACATGCAGGAGAGAGACAGCATAACAGGGAGCTCCAGGCATGGGTTCCAGAGCCAGGGGACCCAGATTCATTGCCACTTTGCTGTGTGACCTTGGGTAAGTTGCTTGACATCTCTACACCTCTGTTTTCTCTTTCATAAAATTGAGCATAATAATAAGTACCTCACAGAGTTATTATGAAGATTAAAACTGGTTAACACGTATAAAGCAGTTACAACAGCACCAAGAAAAGAGTAGGTGACTATAAATGTTGTATCTTTTATTATTTTTTCAGTGATCATTATCCTAGTTCCTGAGATGTGTGTTTCTTTCAGTGTCTTCCTATCTTTCTAGCCCTCCTCTCACTATGCCTCCAGCTCTCCCCTGCTCTCTGCATATCCATCTCTGTCTGTTTGTCCATCTCCATCTTTTCCAGCTTCAGCCCCTGGGTAACCTACTTCTCTGTGCCTCAGTTTCCTCATCTGTCAAATAAAGTTCATAAGAGCATCTACTTCATGGTGTTATTGTGAGAAATAAATGAATTATTACATATAAAGCACTTAAAATAGGGCCAGACACATAGTAAGCTCTCGACCTAATTATAACTAATTTAATATATTTTAAAAGTTAATTAAATAATAGTCAGCTATTATTAGTGTTTGTTATTATTATCTGCTCTCTCCATTTTTCTTCAGATCTGTTACTTTCTTACTGTTTTTCTGTCACTGTGTGTCTCTCTCTATATCTCTGTCTTTCTATATGAACATAACAGACTAGTGAGGGGAGCAGATGTTAGAAAAATAAGCACAGAAAAAATAACACGTGTAGGGCCGGCCCGGTGGTGCACTGCTACAGTGCGCCGCTTGGGAAGCGTGGCGGCGCTCCCGCCGAGGGTTCGGATCCTGCATGCGGACCAGCCGCTCACTGGCTGAGCGAGGAGCGGGGGCAACACCGAGGGTTGCGATCCCGT